CCGCCGCGCCCGCACGGACCGTTTTGTGCGGGGTCTGCCGGGACAAAAGGGCTATTTTTGGTGCTGCCGTTTTTTTTTTTTTTGGAAGTCCTCTCTGCCTCCCGTCTGGCTAGGAGCGAGCTGAGGGAGCGGAGAGATCCCACAGCTGGGACACAAGGATTTCCCAGCTCTCTTGGGTCAAAAGAAGGAATGGGACCGCTGCATCCCGCAGCCTCCTGCCCCCCAATCCAGAGCCTCCTTCCCTGCCTTTTTTTGTTTTCTTGCCGTGCAGAATCAATTCTAGACAGAACAACTGAAAAGTGGAAAAACTGTTAGATGTTCAACCCTTTCTGAGGATGCAGGGTCTTCAGCATGACACTAATTCCTTAGTGAATGGACTTCCCACCTTGTCACTCTCTGTCCCTGCTCTTCTTCCCTGGTGGTCTCTGCTGCACCTGATTATTGTAACAACTGTTGGCAGTTCCTGGTCAATGAAATCAGCTCCTCCAACAAACAGGGGCTTTAAACAGTGTACAGCGTTTCCAGACACCTGAAGCAGAACATGGATGGGGCTCCGTGAGCATTCTTCAGAGCTGGACACCATGCCCTTACTTAATTCTTCTTAATTCTAATCTAATCATAATCCCAATCTTAATTCACTTCACTGCAAACACACTGTGTTGGCTTTAGTGAAACACAAACAGGGATGTCCCGCTCGGGATGAGGGCAGTGGACAGACCCACGTGCGTTGTTCCAGGAAGGCACCTCCTTGTCCTCTCAGGTTTGGCTTTCCAGAGTTGCGATTCCCCCGCAGCAGGAATGTCCACGGAGCCATAAACATGAACCGCCCCGCCGAAAGCTTACTGGAAATGGAAACCTGACCTAGCAATTGAGGTGAGCTGTGGTGAGCTCATTCCCATCTTTCCTAATTTTTATTTTTAGACTTACTGCGCTGTGTTTTATTTTGATTTGGTTGGTTTTTGTTTGCCTTTTTTTTTGTTTTTTTGTTTTTTGTTTTGTTTTTTTTTTTTTTTTTGAGTTACCAGAGATAGGTTCTCCCTCGAAGTATTAATAAAACTAATGTGGACCTATCAGGAGGAGCATTCCCTTTTCCAGTGGGATGCATCATCACAAAGGAGCAAGTATCCAGTTTCCTGGAATGAGAACCTGCTTATAAAGAGTGTCAGTGCATTTTTGAGACCTGAAATACAATGTTCTATCCTGAAATCACAACTCCCTCTAGATATGGGATCTTCTGATAAAAATGAGGCAAAAAGCTCTTTGTAAGAAAGTGATGCAGTAAAAAATGATGTTGGTAAATGGGGTGTCCTTTACCTAGCGTATTGCAAAGGAAGCACTACTGAGCAGAAATCAGTGGAAAAGAAGGATTTTCCTTGCAGAAAATACACACGTGCAAAGACGTGGCAATTTTAGGTCTCTTTTCCAGTTACTATCTCTTAAGTCTTGGTTGGATTTTCAGTTTTTATTGAGCGTGTGCGTCTGCACAGCACTGGCTTCTGCACCATTCAGACCTGCTACGAGCTGCTAATTAAGCTCATTGACATGGAAATGGAAAGGATAATGAGGAGCCTTCAAGCACAGGAGAATGATGATAAATAAAAATCACTAGGGAAACCTGCTTGAAGTGTAAAATCTGAGGGAGGTGATCTGCCATGGATGGGTAAGTATAATATGTGTATGTCATATAATATGTCACGTAACGTGGCAGTGTGCAGCAGTCCTCACTGTGGAGCAAGACCCCAGTGGTGCTAATGTTATACAAACATTATACAAACATTTGGCCATACAAACATGGCCAAAAAGTGCTTTGGAGAATTTCATAGTCTCTGCAAGTCAGGGGACATATTATGGAGGAAAAAAGTCCATTCTACCAAGACTTAAAACTTCCAGATTCATTTCCACATGGTGCTTTTAGTGACTATTTTAACTGGCTTTAAAAGGGTGAGTCTATTGGATAGTCTCCACATGAAAGCTAAATGCATTGGCATCTTTTATGTCTGCTCTAAGTCCAGTTTGTGTCATTTTGCATTGCTCAAGTCTTCATGGACAGTATGAATGTTTACACAAAAAGGAAAATGGATTTCTCTCTGACGATTGCATAGGAAATACACTGCTAGCATGCCTGTGACTGTTTAGTGTTTACTACAATATTAGCTAAGCAGAGACAAATGTGAGATTCTTGGGTAAGGAAACATCACTGGAAGCACTAAATGGTAATTTTCAGCAGAGCTCAAATTAGCTTCTTTCACAGCCCCCGTTAATTAGCAGCCAGAAATAATCTTGCAAGTCGCATTCCAACACAATTGGGACCAGCCTGGTTTCACTCCTGAAGGCACAGATGGTGGTTGTGAGGACACGAACACGCAGTAATGGTGCTGCTGCCCATGCTTCCACCGTCTGCAATGTCTCTTGCTTGTGTCGGATGTGACTCCTTTGGCTGTCCCATGCTAATTCACCCCTTGATCTAACAGGAATGGAAGCAGCACCCACCTGAATTCTTCTTAGGCTGACATCAGTCAGAATTTGTAACCTCTTTTCAGTGGTTTTTGCATCCCTGTAAGGTTTAAGAATGTCCCACAGCTTTGGTTTAGCCGTGGGTGTTCTGAATCATGCTTGTTGGTCTCTTCTATCTTTTCTTCCAAAATCCTACTTTTTTGATCCTTGATTGGATATGGTCTTTTAAGGTTCTCCTCACTTTCCTCATGTCACTGGATCACCCTCCAAATTAGCTGCTCCCACGGGTTAGATTAATTTCCTGCACTGCACAAAGCAGCGTGGGGGCTACACCCGTATGCTGGGGAGCACAGGGTGTAGCCCCCACTCTCCTGTTAGAGAGAGAACACGAATCAGTGCAGAAAGGACTGAGCCAGGTCCTTGTTACGCTTTTAGCAACCTTAGAAGAAAGGTTTAATTATCTCCTTCTAAAATTATCACTTACAGGGACAAGAACCGTCAAGACAATAGGTCAGGATCCCTCCCTGACCCAGGGAGACCATTAAACGCTTCCTGCAGTTCCCAAATATTTTGCAAGAACTCCTGTTGCGAGCTGAAAAATTCTGAATCATCAGAATTTTGAGCCTGTGGTTTTTGTTAGGTCAGAGCAAAATCCATTTCAGTGCTGCTGAGGATCTGCCGTGCTGGCCACGGCGCTTCATTCACTCTTTAAGCGCAGCAGCTCCTAAAGTCTCATCCAGGAATCTGGAACGTTGTGCGCTCAATGGAATTCATTCCTTGTGCTGCTTAACGGCCACTTAAGTGGTACATAAATCTGTGCCGGCGCTCAGTGTGGGAATGAATTTCATCCCGCCTGCAGGGTCCCTAATAGGGAGGGCACTAATTGCACCTTTGGAGCTCTGCTTGGAAACTCCCTCCCCTTCTCCCTCCTCCTCAGGCTTCCCCAGCTGAGCGCTCAGTGTCCTCAGCACGGGGAGTGCATTTCCTTCCCATCGCTATCCGTGGCTTGGGCTGTTTGTCTCATCTCCCACAGCCCTTGTAGTTTGATAATAAGGAGAATTTCATACCGTAGCTCTCATCCTGCAGTTGTGCCGGCAGAGCTGTCAGGTCCAGACGCTTAAAACTCATGAGTCAGTCCCTGCAAAATCAGGGAAACAGCCTGGGGGAGGGAGGGAAGAGGTTTTCTTTCCAAATCGAGAGGTTCTTGCAGAGTGTTGAATTCCTTTGCTTTTTGGATTCTGCAAGGAAGCATTTGCACCATGTATGAAGTGATTTAAGAAAGAAAACTCAGACTAACACAATAGAAGCTCAAGAAAAATGGAAGCTCTCATGATACTCGTGATAATGCAAATTGGCAGGTCTGCATGTCGCAGCCCCTTGTTCACAGGAGAAGGTTTTGGAAGAGCAATGCCAACTGAAAACAGCTGAAAACATGCTCAATCACATTTTGAGATGTCAGGCAGGGATTTTCACAGATGCCCAAATCCTGTTTAGGCCACGCAAATCCTCTGAAAATCCCAGTGGAGTGGGCCTTGCCAGGGATTTTCTGACACACATCTGGGAAGTTGCTGAGCAGCTCTGGAAGGTCCAGTCGGAGCTGCAGGGTGACCGTGTCATGGGTGCTGTTGACCTTGTGTGGGATGCAAGGGTGGTGTTGGCAGCTCTGGAGAGAGAAGGCCAGGTTGGAACCGCCTTGCCTCAACAAGGGATGTTCCATCTCCCCAGCCAATGTCTGCCCTGTCCAAAGGAAATTCCCCTCCAACCAACTGCTTGTGTCACGTCTTTTCCAGCCTCCAGAGGTTAAGCAGCCCCTCGGGAGTGCTGTGGGAAGTGGGGCCTCCTCCAGCTCACAACCCAGCACTCCTTGTGCTGAAGGAGCTGGGAGAAGCCAAGAAGAACCCATCAGCCTGTGGCTCGGCTGCACTCTGGTCAATCCAGTTTCAAGGAGAGCGATCCCACTGCTTCTTCACCACGTGCCACAGCTGGCTGCAAAAGGCCTGGAGAGCCCTGGAGATAGAGACAGGATTGCTGGAGGTCTGGTCTGGACAAGGGGCTGCTCTGAGGAGCCTGGCAGTGCTAGGGACTTGCTCATGGAGCGGGGACAGGTCATCAGGAACCAGAATGGCCCTTCCCCATCGCCTGGGGGCACTTAGCAGAGCTCACTGTCTTCTGCAAACCTCCCCATGTTAGGCATGGGCAAAGGA